GTAGTCCATATCTCTTTATACTTTCTGACTTTTTGACGGAGTTAAAAAACATTGATTTTTCTTTGCTGAAGTAGAGTCAGATTCACTCCATGTATGAACAAAAACCAAATGATTCTTGATGTACGCAACTTTTAATTGACTTTTTTTGATGTTCCAACATTTTTTTGCCGTGTTCATGAAAAAAGAAAACATTGCATAACTTCTTATTTCAGTGCACAGTGGGCCAGAAATTTTTTTCCGAGGCCAAAAGTCCCAAAAAAGTCAAATCTTATAAACTTTTTGTTGCTCTAATGAAATAACGATTTCAATATCCAGAATTACATACTTTGTTTAAATTTTCTCTTTTATTCAGGCCTAGTACTGCTAACATTGAGAGAGGTTTTTTTGTACTTGGTCTATTGGCAACGAAGCAATGAAATAGATTGCAACCATGCAGTTTAGACAAGCTTATGCGAATAGCTTTTCTTAGTCCAGATCAATTTGATGATTTCATGGGAGAAATTGGTGGACAAATACAGAGATTCTGGTGTTCGTCGAATTGAATTGTAGTATTTATTTAAAACTTGCTTTATGTATAATAAAGTATTTTATTTACTTAATGAAACGATTGTTGCTTATTATTGACTAATAATTTTTTCTCTAGGCTTTTTTGTAAACATTATAGCGTAGTAATACGCTTAAAAGAATACGCTATACTGTTTTTAAATTAGCTTTTGAATGAATAAATTTTCAACAACGCATCTTTTACAAAAAAAATATAAATCAAAAACAGTGTATTAAAAAAAACCTAATAAATTAATTACGTTTTTTTATTAATTGCATTTAACTTCAATATCTCTTTTTTTAAAAAAAAACATATTATTGTAAATGCTACGTAATGTATTTACGTAATGTATATACAACGAAAGTACTTAACTTTAACAACTTAGCTATTCTTAAATAAAATAGTTTTCTTAAAGTAACTAATGTTGCGGCCAACGGCGAAGTTCGTATATAAATAACTAATACAAATAAATTAAATATAGCAACTTCATAGCTTCGGATAAACATTAACATGAGTGAAATTTAAAAACCAGCAATGGCGGCCCCGGTGAAAGCGCAAAAGTAGAGTTAAAAAACTTATACAGTTGACCTTCTATATTACATTTTTATAATATGTTGAAACATTATTTTATAATGTATAAATATAATAAAAAAATTTTTATATTTTATTTTTACATTATAAATGACCCCCCCCCCTCTTAGTTGGCGCAATCTATAAAAACCGGCATCCCAATATAAACTCTGGCCTCTTCACTAAGATATACATAGTTACAACAAAACAATTCACTTTGACAAAGTAAAACGTTATTAAGTCACATGATACCTGTCAGAAACTGCCAAAAAGATGTCTTTAGGACGTCAGGAATAGACGTTCTCAAGCCTTTCATTTGGGATCAACTAAGAACGTTTTATGGAGGAGGAATTAGACGTCTTAAGGGCGTCCTTAGGACGTTTCTTTGTTTAATGCCCAGTAGTCCATATCTCTTTATACTTTCTGACTTTTTGACGGAGTTAAAAAACATTGATTTTTCTTTGCTGAAGTAGAGTCAGATTCACTCCATGTATGAACAAAAACCAAATGATTCTTGATGTACGCAACTTTTAATTGACTTTTTTTGATGTTCCAACATTTTTTTGCCGTGTTCATGAAAAAAGAAAACATTGCATAACTTCTTATTTCAGTGCACAGTGGGCCAGAAATTTTTTTCCGAGGCCAAAAGTCCCAAAAAAGTCAAATCTTATAAACTTTTTTTTTAAAATATTGAAACATGAGTGTTTTACTCTACTTAAAAATATATCCGTTTAATTACTAGAGATGAAGCCAAGCTTGCTAGAACCATTCATAATAACTTTAAAATTGTCAAATTTTCTGAAAAATATTTTTTAAAAAAAATACTTATCCTCAAAATATACATAACTTTTTTAAACTAAAAAAGCTTTAGACTTTTTATTTTAAGTAAACATATTAACTTATACTAACAAAAAGTAAATTTTTTAGTTATATATTTGTATTTAATTTATTCGTAATATGTCTTGGAACTGCTGGTATTTTAAAGGGGTTTTTCTAAACTCCTCGTCTTTCTTTTTCTAAATGCCACTCGAAGATTGTTTGATTTTTGCATTTACTAAACGGCAGTTATTGTTCAAAAAAAAAAAACACAGCTGCGACCATGTATTCTTTATGATATATTTTTAAGATCAAAATCCACGACTTTTTTTGCTTTTATAAAAAGACCACTTTAAAGATAAGATATTTGTTTAAGGTATATATATTTTTTTTAAATTTCATTTTTTTATTTTTATTTTAAATTTGATTTTAAAAATTTAATGTATTCTATTAATAAATTTTATTAATTTTTTATATTTATTATAATTTTACTAATTATTTGATTTTATTAATTTTAGTTTAAATTTGATTTTATTAATTTGCTATGTTTATTTTAATAAACTTTATTAATTTTTATATTTATTATAAATTTATTAATTATTTGATTTTATTAATTTTGTTTAAAATTTGATTTTATCGAAACGTTTTTGTTTAAAGTAAACTTTTTTTTTATAGTTTTAATGTTTTCTGAAAATGAAAAAAATGAAAATCATTTGACTATAGATACGTAAAAATCAAATATTTAAATATTCCAACCAAATGCCGCTCTCTTAAAATGGAATTAATGATATTTAGGAAGTATAACGGTTTCTTAATACTATTAAATAAAATCAGCTTCGACTAGCTATAAACTAGACTTGAAATTAATTTTGAAATTTCAAGATTTTAGGCTAATTTAATTCTTACTTGACAATGTATTAAGACGTAAAAAACATTCTTTGTCTGGAAGTTTGAAGTTTAAATGATATGGAAGACTACTTAGTTAATAATTGCAGCAATTTGATTAAAAACTTGTAACGTTAAAAACTTTAAAAACCTTAAGCATATAAAATTAACGTAGAAACTGTAAGAAAATTGAAGTTAGGCATTTGCACAAAAAGGTTTAGAAAATAAATAAATTATTAGTCATTAACATCCTTCATATAAACTTCTAGTGAATTACACTAACTATATTTTATATGGTTATTAGAAATTAGTCATTTAAATAATAGAATTTATTTTTATTAGCTCAAGGTTAAAACTTTATTCCTAGTTTACATATTAGTGCCCTTAAAAATTTTGCTTAAATCAAATGGTAAAAATAAAATAAATAAAATCTAAGTCAGTATTTTCAAAGTCGGCATAGTAATAAATCAAAAATATATCAGTGTTGTAAAGTGGTAAATCAGTGTTTTCATTTTCATATGATTTAATAATGTCATTGTGCTGATTAAATTTTTTATTTCATTTATGTTTATTTGTTTTAGTTCCTTATTTCTATCATCAAAATTATCATCCTCATCCAACTCATATATTCTTCGTCCGCATAAATATTATCATTAGTATCATTTGTATTTTCCTTTTCAGTTTCTTGAAAAAGATCAACTAAGTCTCCATACAGATTCATTTTTTTATGTTTACATTTTGAACTTGCATTGTTTAGAGAATGATGAATTGGATTACTCGAAAGCATTAAATATTTAAATTGGCCCGTCATTGTAGATTTTTGATCAAATTTACGAGTGCGCTGTAAACAAATATTTTTTTTGTTTTTATTTTGAGCTTGGATTGTTACTTCAGAGTACATTTCAATTGGTAGCATAAATCTAGTTATTGTCAGACTACTATGAATGAGTAGTTTGTTTACTGAGGCTGGCATGTAAAACCATGAGTACTCTCGAACAAAAATATTTGCAGTTTTTAAACAATATATTTCAAATTTGGCTATGTTAACTTTTTATTTAAATTAATGACAATTAAAATACCCAGTCAACCAACACATGAGTACCGTATTGGGAGTCATCCGGGTTTCTGGTATAGCATGAGGGCTTTTTTTATGGACTCGGTCTGGGACCCGTATAGGAAAGCAATTAATATGGTGTTATATTTATCGATATCGAGGCAGAATTGAAAAAGGTTTTTTTCAAAATAAAAATGGCTAATTGGTTCGCTACGTGCAATTTATTTTATTGTATTTTAATTAATTATATACATATATTTTTTCATGAAATTATCCATTTCTTATTTATAGTTGGATGTTTGTATAGGATTAATACAGATTACAAATTACACTGTTTGTAACCAAAGTTAAACCAAATGTTAGTTTTATTATAAAATATTATTTTTATATAAAAAATGTTTGTTTTATTTAAAAATATGTTAGTTTTATTATAAAAGTAATATAACTTATAAAACTTTTATATAAATTTTTAAATTTAAAAAAGTTAGTTTATAAAACTTAGTTTCAAAAGTTAGTTAACCAAACGTTAGTTAAACACTTTAAAAATGGTAAAATCACAGTAGTAAAATGTAATAATGTTAGTACCATATATTATTTATTAAGTTAATTAATAGTTAAAAAACTATGTGTAAAAAACAAAGTGTTAATATTTTCTAACAATATTTTCTAACAATATTTTCTGACAAAGATGACTAATAACTGATAGGCCCCAAAGCTTAAAATTCCAGGAAAAGATCAAGAAATTAGATTTACTTGTTCTTACATATATATATATATATATATATATATATATATATATATATATATATATATATATATATATATATATATATATATATATATATATATATATATATATATATATATATAAATATATAAATATATATATATATATATATATATATATATATATACGCAGTGGCTACGGTACCGGCTGCTGGATCTTTAGCTCTAGCAGCTAGAGTACCGGCTGGTCTGGGTTCTAGCTAATGACGATGACATAGCTTTCAGATGGTTTACTTAACATCCGCAATTAGAAAACTAGTAGCCGGTTTCTTAGCCTTTGATTATTTAAAAGTTGCTTCATAAAATTTACTTACAATAAATTACTTACGACTTAATCGTTAGTATTATCCGCGCTGATTGTTAATAGAATGAATGTAGGAGATATTTTTAATAATTTTAATGAGCTTAAGCTAGCAATTAAAGAATATGAAAAATCAAGATTTGTATCTCTTTATGTTCGAGATAGTCGAACAATTGATTTAGCGATTAAAAAAGGTTTGCAACGATATATTAATAAAGATTTAAAATATTATTATTTAACTTACTGTTGCTATCATGGTGGACGTCAATTTAAATCGAGATCAAAAGGGCTTCGTCCAAACCAAAGGTATTTGTAAATAATAATTACAGGTACTCAATAAGACATAATTTTTTTCTACAATATTTTTTTGTAAACTGAAGATTTCGTTTCATTAAAGATGCTATATGTAGACTTATTTATATTATTTATACATAGTACCTATAAAATTCAATGTCCATTTACAATTTGCATTGGTGTTACTGAAGATGGTGAAAGGTTATGTGTGACAAAAGTTATTAATGAGCACAACCATGCAATTGACAAAGTAAATCTGTTGTTTTTTTTACTATATAAAGGTATTAGTTTTTTGCTGAATAGCAGGGTGACCAGTATATATGAAATAAGGGAAATTATGGAAAAGTTCAGGAAAATGTTTTGCATTAGGTGGTTAGGAGAGTCAGGGAAAAGTCAGGGTTTTTAGATTTGATTTTACAAAGGGGCTGGCCACGCTGAACAGACTGTCAGAAATTATTTTTATTCATGAAATACTATGTTGTTATAACAGCAGCAATATTTCATAATAGCAGAGGTAAAAAAAGTTTAAAAACTTTTCTCATAGTTTCATTTGATATAAGGTAAAATCAACTAGACAGGAGTGCGACAAAAAAAGAATTCTAAGTTTTTAATTATATTTTTAAATATTCTGTTTTTATATTTTTTTTTATAAATTTTTAATAATCAATAATTATTTTATACTTTCAACATATTTGATAGAAACAAATATTGAGTTCCATATTACTATCAGATAAAAGAAAAAAGAAAAATAATACAATTGTGAATGAGTTTGAATGCGCATGCAAATTAAATATTCATTTAAAGTGACGTTTTCTGTTATAGATAATACTTTGTTTTAACTTTGTCTATGTTGACCTGAAATAGAGGCAAATTAAAAAAATATTCTTTGAACTATAAACAAGTTTCTTATAAAGATTTACCTTTAAAGCAAAATTTTAGAAGTAACAATTTGCAGCTTATAAATAAGTTATAAGTTTTTTTTATATGCTTAAAATTATAAAATTATTAAATTTTTCAAATTATTTATTATCTAGGAAATAATTGAAAGACTTCCAAAAGTTAGGAAACTAAACGAGGATCAAGAGAAAGATGTTAAACAAATGTTAAAGATACATGGCAATAAATGGCTTATTCATGAGCATGTTCAAAATGAAACAGGTGCCGTTTATTAAAATATGAGCAAAGCGAGTCTGAAATTCTAATTGTATTTGTAGTCTTAGTAGCAATAAAATTAAACGTTACAACTGTAAATTATATATATATATATATATATATATATATATATATATATATATATATATATATATATATATATATATATATATATATATATATATAATAAAAAAAATATATATATATATAATAAAAAATATATATATATATATATAATAAAAAAAATATATATATATAATAAAAAATTTGACAAACAAAGAGCTATAAAGTTTTTCCTGCTAATAGGCATGTTACATTTTCTTATTGCAATAGAATGCAGGAATTTGCGTTTTTCATCTTAGTTACAACCACAATACTTTTATAAACAACTTTGCCAACTTGATCATATTGACATTAATGTTATAGTTAAATTACACTGTATTTCAAACAAAAGAATTTTAGGAAAATAAATCTCTCTGAACTGCATATCTGCGTTTGAAAAAAAAAGTTCTTTATTTTTCTGTTTCTTTTTTAACTTTGTGTGATTTTTTTACTCACTTTTTTGATACTATAATTCTGCTCGACTAAACAAAACTGTTGCAGTGTAAAATAACTTACATATATTATATATCAAAAAAATTAAATCGCAAATTTGTTAATCTAAAACTTTAACTTTGCCTTTTTTATTTGAATTATTTTTTTTATACAAAAATGATACTTTTGCAAGAGTTTTTATATATATATATATATATATATATATATATATATATATATATATATATATATATATATTATATTTATTTATTTATATTTGTATATATATATATATATATATATATATATATATATATATTTATATTTGTATGGTATAATTATATTATATATATATATATATATATATATATATATATATATATATATATATATATATATATATATATTTATATATATATATATATATATATATTTGTAAGTATTAATCTAATTATAATTGATATATATATATATATATATATATATATATATATATATATATATATTTATTTATGTATATATTATATATTTGTATCTATATATATAGATAGGTAAATATATCTGTGTGTACGAAACATACATATATATGTATGTTTGGTACAATTTACTATGTATTAATTAATCTCATTTATCACTAATAGGAAAGAAAATAACATTAAAAGATTTTCATAATTTAGCATCTAAGGAGAAAGGTTCCACAGATATAGAGTCTTTACTTGGAGTTTTTAAAAATTGTGATGGTTAGTTTTTTTCGCTGATTAATGCTGCTGTTTAACAAATTACTTTAAATATTTTTTTTAATTTAATTTTGTTTTAAGTTAATTATTTTTTTAAATAGTTCGAAAAAATTGGATATCAATACTAGTATTTTATAACATTTTCAGAAACAAGATTATGTTAAGTGACGTACGACTGCAAAAAAAAAAAAAAAAAGAACAAACTGAATATGAAACTTATCACCATTACTAGCTACTATATTTTCAATTGGTGTTCTTTGGTAGATATTCGTAAATGTTTGTTTTACACTATTTGTTTACTACTAACACTACAATTTCACTAACGCACAATATTATTTATATTAAACCTGATTTATATAACCACTATGTAATATTTCATATAATATAACATAATATATATTATTTTGGTAGATTTTAGATTATAATTTATATTGCATTGCTCTAAGTTGCTTCACTTTAGTCAAACTTATATTTTGTTTTAGGTGCGGATGTGGACATAAAATGCAATAATAGTGGAGTCATTCAATCAATATTTTTTCAAGATGCAGAAATGAAAAGATTTTTTTCATTGTATCCAGAGCTAATTTTGATGGATGCAACCTACAAATTAACAAATTTACGCATGCCATTATATATTATGCTGGCTGTAGGACTGAATGGAGAAAGTGAAATAGTAACAATTTTTGTAACTGCATCCGAGGATTCAGTAACACTAAGTGAAGTGCTGGAAACATTTAAATCAAGAAATGAAAAATGGACTAAAATTGTCACTATTTTCACAGATAAAGACATGGCAGAAAGAGACTCTATAAGAACAATTTTTCCAAATGCAGTTTTTTTACTATGCCTATTTCATGTTCTACGAGCAATGAGTCGAGAAGTTACTGTTTTGAAAATGGGAATTTCAGAAAGCCAGCAAATATATGCATTAAAATCTCTTCAAAAAATGGCTTATGCCTCTTCTGAAATAGACTTTGAAAAACAAAGAGATGATTTTGTTGCCAAAATGCCACAGAGTGTTGTTCGTTATTTTGAAAATAACTGGAACAATTGCATAACTGAATGGGTGTATTGTTAGCAACAGCAGAATTTAACTTTTGGACAGCGAACTACAAATAGGTTAGAGTCTGTGAACAAATCAAAGCTGTCCTAAATTTACTTAACCCTCTTCCTCTTTTTTTCAAAGACCTTATTACTGTAATTAATTGCATGCGAAAAGAAAGAGATCATACATTTATCACTGCTGGCGAGCGTATCTCTGTGCATGCTGTTTTACAAAATGATGTTCTAAAAGAATTTTCTCAAATATTAACACCTTATGCACAAACTTTTGTAGCAAGTCAATTCGAAGAAGCAATAGGTTGAAGAAAATGAACATCCAACCTTAGAAATATTAGGTCATAAGGTGTTGATAAGCGAGCAAAAGTGTCAATGTATATTTTTTAAATCAATGGCATTACCATGTAAACATATGTTTGTTGCAAGGCGAGTGAAACATTTGCCACTATTTTCCTATGATGGCATTGGTGTGAGATGGCTTAAGGCTCATTCTATTAAAAACCATAGACTTTTCCAACACCAAAATGAAAACCTTAGTCATCTGGGATTAGGTGTTGTTAAGGAAAGACCATTGACATAATCTGAAAATTTTAAAAAAGCATATCGTCTTTAGCAGCGTTTAGCCCAACTAGTCTCAGAAAGTAACAATAATGAATTTGAAATCAGGATAAATGTTCTACAAAATCTAGCTAAAGTTTGGGAGGAAAATAAAAGCATAGATGTGTCAATCCTGGAATCACCTGTGGATTTTTTAATAGAAACTAATTTGAATCACCCTGCTGAAATAGGTAAGAAGATATTATGTGATGATACTGGTAAAGAGATGTTATGTGATGGTATAAAAACTTTATATCCTCAAAACTCATTAAATAGTATTGATGTTGACTTCAAATCTAATGAATTCTTTAATCCAATAGATATAAACCCAAGGGGTGTTTGTAGTTTCCTTACTTTAAATGACTCGAAATCAACTGACTCGTCAAATCAACTTGTTAATAGCTGTAATTTAAAAACAAATTATTTATCTAATAGTTCCACTGAATTTGAGTGTAAATTACACTTGCAAGAACAAATGATTTACTCTTCCCCTGATCTTCAAATGAGCAATGGTAGAAATGAGTTAACTAGTGTTCAAAGCTTGGCTCTTGATCAAAGTCCCACTCTTGAAAATTTTAACACAATAGTTAGTGAAAATCAGAACAGTTGTGATGCAGTAGAGGTATTGAATTATTTTTCATTTAATTTTGAAATGCTTTTATTTTAGTTTTGGGATTTAAATAAAAGAAAAGGTTGAAAAGTTAGAGGTGGTATTATTTCAATTCCATCAATTCTAAAGGAATCAAAAAAATACCATTATCTACTTTTTAAATAAGCTTGAACAATTCCCGATTCTTATAAAAATTGGTATCAATCTGATGCACACCATTCTATTTCATTTGAATATGCATTTTTATATCATTATAAAGAATAATTAAACTTAGCTTTAAAAAATTCAAAGCAATTTAAAACTTTTAAGTCTTTGCAATTTTAAAACTTTTAGGCAAGCAAAAGTGATTCTGTGAATATTTATTCTATCAATATAAAAGATCTTAAGTTTCCTCCAAAGATTAAGTCGCGAGGAAGGCCTAAAGCTACAGAGAAAAAAACTGCAATGGGTGCATGTAGATGGAAAAAAAAGTGTTTGTCTTATATTGATAAAAGTGTAGCAGGAAAAATAAATGGTTAGTTTTTTATGAATTAAATAAAAAATTCTAAATTATTTTATTCACAATTAAATGATATATCGTTTTGTATATATTTCCAATCTGTTGCTAGCTAGTTCTTCTGGGTGGTATTCTCTTAAATGGAAAAGTTGAGGATATTACTCGTGCAATGCAAGCAGATGTTGGTGATTTAGAATTAAAGGCTGGCAATCTCCCTTCTGCATTTCTCAATGACGCTGCATCAATACATATTTTAAAACCATATTTAACCAGTTTGGCCTGGAATAGGCTGAAGAAAGCAATTTTGCAACAAAAGCAACTGGCGAAATGGAATTGTCCGTTTTGCACTTTAAATACAGCTTCCAGTGAAAGCATTGAATGTGATAACTGTTTAGAGTGGTATCATTTCAAATGTGTTTCCATTTCAAAGAAACCAAAGAAGGAATGGTTTTGTGACAAATGTCATAATATATTAAATGAAAGTAATAAGAAAGGAAATTTAAAAAAATCTGCATATATAGTTTAAAAAAAAATAATTAAAGATAAAAATATTAAAAAACAAAAAACATAAAAAATGATTAAAAAAATACAAAAACAAACAAAGAACAAATATATTATACATACATACATACATACATACATACATATATATATATATAATATATATATATATATATATATATATATATATATATGTATATATATATATATATGTATATATATATATATATATATATATATATGTATATATATATATATATATATATATATATATATATATATATATATATATATATATATATATATATATATATATATATCAAGAAAGATTTGAAAAATAATCATACTTAGCTTTCTATGTTTTTTCAGCGTTTTCAATATAATCGATGAAGTTGCTTTTTTTGTTGAATTTGAGTTTTTGTTTTTATATATCTTATTATTATATTACAAGATTATCTGTACAAAAATTTATTATTTGCAAATTAACAAAAAGAATGATATGATATTATAGAAATAGGAGTGAATTTGATTTGACAATAAATACATACTCTTTGGTGCTTTATACAAAATGGGTTAGAAATTTTTTTCTGTTTGAAATTTAATCCCAGCGCCCAAAAAAGTGCTGGCGGGATGGTCATTTTTAAGTTAGCCTTTGCAATTTAAAAAATTCTTTATTTTCTTGTTATTTAAATAAAAATAGAAAAAAGGAACGCTTAAATAAAAGGATGGGTGTGGATTTTATTCTTGACCAAGTAAATATTTGATCATTTTTAAAAAAGGTTAAAATCTACCTAAAAACTATAGAAGAAAATTTCTAAAACCTAATATAATAACATGTAAGAAAAATCATTTTTCATTCAAGAAATAGCAAGAAAACTTAAGTGCAATTTTGCCCACAATGCTGAGGTATATGTTACTTTCGGAGTCAAGCCCTTAGCATTAGACTGCCGAAACCGTAAAAGTTGAATTTTGCAATCTGTATATATATATATATATATATATATATATATATATATATATATATATATATATATATATATATATATATATATATATTTATATATATATATATATATATATATATATATATATATATACATATATATATATATATATATATATATATATATATATATATATATATATATATATATATATATATATATATATATATATATATATATATATATATATATATATATAGATATAGATATATATAGATATATATATATATATATATATATATATATATATATATATATATATATATATATATATATATATATATATATATATATATAGATAGATAGATAAAGATGTATAGATATATAGAAATATAGATTGCAAAGTTAAGCTTTTTAGGTTTGGACAATTTGGACAACTTTTTTGCCTGGATGGGAATGATGTTTTTCCTAAAATTTCAAAAATGTTTTCCATTAAAAAAAAAAAAAAAGGTTCTTGATTTTGAATTTAAAAAGGCTATCTAAAATAGTATCATAAATTTTAGAGACCTTGTCATTAGGTCAGGTATGTTTTATCAAACCCAACTCCAGTCAAATACTAGCCACACTACCTGTTATTAGCTCTTTGTATTAGTGAATTAATTATATTTGACTGCTTATTATCTATTATGTGTTAATTTAGGTCATGCAAGCTGCATGGTATTTTTATTGGAAGCTTGTTAACTGGAAGTAATTATTATACTGATATATCATGATACATTGAAAATTTTTTAAATTTGTCATGACATGCTTTAATGATATGCCATGATAGATGAATTTTCTTGAATTCATGAAGCGCTCGCAACTTGCTATATCAACATGAACTGATTAATAAAAAAAGATTAGATTTTTCTAAAATGTTAACGCAATAAAACAAGGGTAGTTTTTTTTTTCTTTACTTGTTTTTATAGATAAAAGTGTGGTATAAAATCGGAAAACTTTAAATTAATTAAGTGTTCAGTTACTATTTTGTAAAAAGCCATTTTAGTCTAATTTCAGTTAAAATATAGAATGCAAAACTTTTTCTGCATTGTGAAAAGTAAAACATAACAAACATTAAAAATAAATTTTTATTTTATATTTTTATTTAATATTCTATTGATACATTGATATTATATATATGTATTCATTTGATATTATCATTTTATAATATTAAATAACTGAATACCGATCATAATTCCAAGGATTAATTAATTTAGAATTTTCATTTTATTGATAAAATTTATATATATTGTCTATGAATCTTCTTGCTACTTCCTATTTTTATATTTATGTAACTTGTAGAACTAAATAATTTTCATAAAGTTTCTCACAAATAAAAAATATTTTTTTTGTTTGTATAAGTATATAAAAGTGATATATAACTGCATTTACGTTGTATATTAAGTATTCACACATATTCAACAGAGTTTTTGCTGAAGCTATTTTTTTGCAAAGTATGCAAACCATGGGGATTCCCATGGTTTGGAAACTACGCAAAGCATGACAATATTTTAGTTTTATATTATTAACAAAAAGCAGCAGTAAATTGCTGCTGCTTTTTGTTAATAATATAGACATAAAGTAATGAGCTTATCTTTGCAAATGATGATACATGTTGAATTATGATGTGTAACTTCAATGAAACTGTCAGCCAGTAATCTTCAAAGAAGGTTGAATAATGATTCTTAAATGACTTGTTCGAATAATTATTCTTTAATGAAATGGTTTTTTTTTTCAAATACTGCTATAAAATTCAAGCCAAAAAAATAAAAAAAGGATTACTCTTCAAGAAGCCTAAATGTTTTTAATGAAATAACAATTATTGGATTTGAAATGGAAACAAGTATAATACCCAATTTTTATTATCTTTTTGCTATTATTATCATTATATGATCTGTTGTTGATTTTGAAACATCTAAAGATTTTTTAATTTTTTTAGATAATTCTGAATCAGATAATCTGTGTTGTCTTTTAATAAATAAAAATTAAATACATTATACGAATTGAATAAATTTGATATACATTATATATAAATATACAATATAAATAAATACAAGCCACCAAAATAAATTAAATACATAATAATTACATTAACATTTTTTTAATCAATTACTTGCCACAAAAGTTCGTTGTTTGTTCAGATAAATTAGAAGGGTTCTGAGTTTTCAAAAAAAAAAAAAGACCAAATAAAATATTTAGAAAAAAACTTGTGATGGAGTGGTGATACATCAACTGATTTATCTATACCTTGACTTAATCCCTTTGAAACAGCACTCCTTTGCATGTTATTTCTATATCAATCAATGTAATCAAAATAGCAGCACTTACATGTTTTTTGGAAATTGCTATGATGTCGGCTCTGCGCTTTTTTTCTCTTAAAACCTTAATTTGAGCCATACTATCTTTTGCTTACCTTCATATAGCTGCAACATTCAATTATTAGAATTATAAGCCAATTTGTCAACAATGGAGTATTTAAATATAGATCTACAGTAACTTGCAAAAGTTTAGAAACGCTTATTTTTTTTTAGTTTTTAAATCATAACTTTTCAATAACTTTCTCAAATAACCTGAAATTTTTACCAAATGTGCTCTATATTATTATAATTCAAAATCCATTTCCAAAAAATTTTAAAACTCACCCGTCAATTAGTTTTAATTGTTTTTTTGAAAAGGCTTCCGTGCAAAAGTTTAGAAACAGCTGAATTTGAATTATTATTTATTTCAATAAAGCTGAAATATTTACTAAAACTTTCAATATTTACAATTTTTTAATAAAATATTTTCAATAAAAAAGTTTTATGTATTTGGTGGCATATCCATTTGCTTTTAAATTAATATATATATTTTTTTTTGATCTATTTATTCAACTAAAATTGAAAAATTACAATTTTTCTATAATTTAACAAAATTAGGTTAGGTGTCACTCACATAGTTAAAAACTAGTCATTGGAGTGACACCTAAATAAAATAAATAAACAAACAAAAAGATTAACAACAATAATAATAAATAAAAGCATGCGTAAATTACATTAAAAAAAAACTAATAATAATAAAACTATAATAAGTTAAATAATAAGACAAATAATATAAAAGCACTCAATAACAACAGCAAGCAAAAATAAAAATAACGTGCAAATAATAACAAATTTTGCTCAAACACTAAAACTACCAAATGAAAGCAAAAGTTACAAAACAAAAATGCAAACACAAAAACTTCTACAAAATAAAATAAAAAAGTAATTATCTTTTGTTATTTTTGTCGAAAAATAAAAAAAAGGTGTAGAAAAATTGGTAGCGATTTAAAACAGCATCACAGCAATGAGGCATCAAATCAACTAATTTAATGAGAACATTATGAGGAATATTATACCAACATTCTTTAATCAAAGCAAATAAATTGTCTTTGTTGGTTGGTTTTCTACCAACTAATTGCCTGTCAATGTACTCCCAAAAATGCTCAATGAGATTGAGATCTGGGCTCTGTGAAGGCCATTCAAGATTGTTGACTTTTTTTGATTGAAAATAATCCTTAACAGATCTGGTACAATGCTTTGGGTCATTATCTTGTTAAAAGATCCAATTGCGATTCATTTTGTCTTTTGCATGTGGCAGCGTAATGTTCTTTATTATGTATAAATAAACTCTCTGGTCCATAATACCTTCTATGTGATGAATGGGACTCAGGTTGTCACGACTAAAACACCCCCAAACCATAACACTTCTTCCTCCGTGTTTAACAGTAGGTAACTGATATTTTGGATTGAATCAGTCTCCTATTAGACGTATGACATTAATACCGTCACTACTGAATAGCATAAACTTTGATTCATCGGAGAAAAGAACTTTTGACCAATCATTATATGTCCAACTGAGATGATCTCTTGCAAATTTTATTCTGGTTCTTAAATTTTTTGCAGATGTAAGAGGTTTCTTAACTGAACGGCGACCATACAGATTATTTTGTCATATTCGGCGTTTAGTTGTATCAACACTACAGTTTGTGCCATGAATCTGATGCATATTTGAATTAAGTTCGACAGCAGTCATGT